GGGCAGGAGTGTGTGTGCAAGCATGGGTGTTGGGGAAGTGGTGATCTGAGTGGCCAAGGAGCACAGGGGGTGACTGTCACAGGCCCCGGCATCGCCAGGAATCCAGGCTCTACGTTATGTGGACAAGTGGCAGGAATGATTACATGAGGACACTGCTGAAGCTTCATTCACAGCACAACAGTGGTGCCCCTGGGTAAAAAGTGGAAAACGGCCGGAGAAAGAGAGGAGTCAGAGGTGTGAGTAAGCACAGGAGGAGGAAGGGGACGATGTAGCCCATGGTCAGACCCTGACTCCGAAGGACAAAGAAATCAGGAGGCTGTGAGGTAGCCCGGAGGCCTAAACTTCCCACTTTGAGTCCAACTGCTTTGCACCTTCAGCTAGATTTCACTACAAAACTGCTGTCCCTAGGAGGGATGCAGAAGTGGTTAAGAGCAATTCCGGCCCTTGAGAAATTTACGGCACAGTCAGAGAGCCCAACGGAAGTACAGGTAAGGCCACGACTGGAAGTACAGAACAGGGCGGGGAAGAGCAGCGTCGACAGGAAGTGCCGCAAAACGGCAGTCTTTGCACCTGAAGAGTCAAGGGCAGCAGGCTCCTCCTCCTCCTCTCCTCCGACCTGACTTCCTGACCCACGTTAGCGCCACTTCATCTCTCTGTGCCACGGAAGGGCTACCAGGTGCCCAGAATGCTCTTACTTATCTAGTTGCACTGATTCATGGTTTAAATCTCTCTGAAAGGGAATGAAAGACTGAAGAAACAATGAGATGATAAACACGGGTCTGTATAAGGACTCCTCACGTACCCATTACCAACCTCAACAGTTTTCAATACGTGCCCAGTCTTTTCTCTTTGTGTCATTTTGAGGCAAAACCCACATGTCATTCCACATGTGTTAACATGTCAACAATAGCATTCTAGAAGCTAGGATGCCCTTAAAAAACATAATCACAGTACTGGTATCACACCTAAAAAATGAGAAGCCAAACGACAATGATCCAGGACCACCATTAGTAAACTTGCCTGCAGTCCTTACTGGGTGCGAGCCCTGCTTCAGGAGCTCTCTCTATATTAACTCATTTAACCCTATGATAAAGATGACTTACCGAAAGCACCATTTTATAGGTGAAGAAACTGAGGCCCAAAGAAGTTAACATAACATGTTCAAGGTTGCCCAGCTAACCCAAGTGTCCATCAGCTGATGAATCAACAAAATGCAGTGTATCCATACAACGGAACGTTACTCGGCGGTGAGGAATGAAGTACTAATCCATGTTGTGACGTGGAGGACCCTTGAAGACACTCTGCTAAGTGAAAGAAGCCAGACACAGAAGGCCACGTATTGTGTGATTCCACTTACGTAACGTGTCCAGAATAGCAAATCTAGAGAGAGTAGACCCGTGGTTGCCGAGGGCTGGGTGGGGGTAAGCGCTGGCCAGCGGTCATGGAGTCTCTTTCCCCGATGAGGACGGTGTGAAGTTGATGGCGGTGATGGATACACGGCTGTGCACCTGTGCTGAACCACTGAAAACCACTGAATTGTGTGTACACTTTAAAATGGGTGACTTGTACGGATATGAGAATTCAATCTCAGTAAGGCTGTTTTTAAAAAAGTAAATTATCAAAAGGTTTAACATTTATCAAACCAAGGAATATTCATGGACCATCTTAAAGGTATATACTACATTCTATATGAGTTATAAAACATATGTAAAACATAAAAGCAGACCTCAAATTGCTTATAGTTCAAAAGAAAAGGCATATATGCAGTACATAATAATGCCCTTTTGCTTTCCGAATTTGTGCCTTTTTCTCTAAGGGCAGTCAACTACCTGAACCAGGCTTTCTGATTCATAAAAGCTACTGGGCTAGGGTCTGATGAACACACGCTAGAAAAAGACTGATCCTGCTCCCCTTCCACCCTGGGACCTGCAGAGGTCATGATCAACCACAGGGTTACCTTGTGAGTGAGCAATCTATAGGATTTTTAGGGAGCTGAGGCTGGGCCTATTCACCTTATAATTGAAATAATTTGAGTAGATGTATCTTACCTAAACCAAGGCCAGAACAGCTCAAAGATCCTTGGGTGAGCTAAGGCCACCATGCCTGGGTCCTTCTCCCTGGGTTTAGCAATGCCCAGAGTAAACAAACAGTACAGGTTTTCCTTACCGATAGCCACTGAAGGTCTGGTCTGTTCCCCCAATGGGGAGGCTGCACCTACTAGGCCACCTCCCTTGGCCCTCTAAGCTCAAACAGCAAAAGTCACTCTGCTTGAGGTGGGCCTGAGAGCTTCACTAAGAAGACAAGGCCCTCGTCTGCTTCCTACTGAGCTACACAGTTCAGAAAAAGTAGGAGCATCTAAGATCTGTGATGAAAACCGGGAAAGCTGTGGTCATGAAAACTTGTGGGTGTTTAGAGGAGAGAGAGGAAGGCCACAGTAGGAGATCCAATCTTGGGAAGGGTATTTTGGGGATCAAAAAACCTGAAAAAAAAACCCTGAAAAGGTCCAGGCACCTGGTGGGTCACTTACAACCAGGAAGGCTTTCCGGAGGTAACACTTACCTTAAATGAATAATGAGGAAACTGCTGTTCAAATTCAAAGTGCCTGGGTACCAAGGACGTATGGCTGTGGGGCTCTGTTCTACCCTAAGGCTACTAGAACAGTGTCCAACCAGCCCGATGGCCAGTGAACCCGTGAAGCTCACATGCCACATAGATTCCCAAACCTGGGGTGCACACCAAAAAGATGCTGGAATTTTACAAACATGTGAATTTAGCCGAACTTTAGAACATGGATTTGCATTTTCTGGAAGTTTCAGATAATGGGAGTAATCAAAACTTAGAATGTTTCTTAAGCTAACAACCATTTAGTGTTTAAGACAAAACTAGTCAATGAGGTAGAAACTCCCATTTCAAACACGGCTAATTATGCATCTTTTCCTGAACTGCCCAGAAAGAACACCTATTTGGCATGAGTGGCTTGGGCCCAGAGTGGCCTGATGAATCAGCACAGAACTCAGCACCATAACATTATGGCCGAGTTGCCTCATTTAAACCACAGTCCTACTTGGGCTACAATCACTAACATTATAGTGGTCTCCTTACCTTTCACGACATCAGCCACATTGCAGGTGGGATCAATACTTCCAATGTGTTTAGGATGAGCAGGGTTAGTGTCACCACCAAACAGAAGTGCTAAACAAACACAGAAGGGAAGGGAGAGATTCAAAACAAAGCAGGCAATGTAGCCTTACAAGTTTTGAAAGGATCGTCTTATTTGTAAGAATCATTTTAGCATCTAGAGTGAGTGACTTAAAGCTAGAGAACACATACAATGAGGGGTGATCAGCTCTACTGGACGGCAAAGGAGGAAGGCCATGCTCTAGGATCTGCTGGTTGCCGTTAGCAGGTCTGAAAGCAGTAACACGTGCCAGGGGTCCAAGCCCTTTTCTCCCTGACCCCATGTGACTTGGATGAAAAAGTTCTTTTCCTCCTCAGCCAAGTTTACTCACCTTCTCGGTACTACTCCCGACAGTGATTCCAACATTCACTACGTATTTAGAAAATGCAGCCTGCGAAGTGACTTCACTGTGAACATTTTAAATGCCTCTATCACGGGGAGTAGTTTTCAAATATTCTTTTTTTGTTCAAGTATCTTTCAAACTACATTCAAGGGACGCCTGGTGGCTCAGTTGGTTAAGCGACTGCCTTTGGCTCAGGTCATGATCCTGGAGTCCCTGGATCGAGTCCCGCATCGGGCTCCCTGCTCGGCAGGGA